AGATTGACTATATGTAGACTACGCATTGATAAGCGCTGGCGTATAATTTAAATTCATGTACATACATATGTCTGTCTTCATATGTACATATGTAGATATGTATGAATTTTTATCGCACTATTAACTCAACCAATTAAGCGCTGTCTGGCCTACACGTTGTATGAGTGATATTAAACAGTGGCGCGCGTTCGATAGTAATACATATACTACATACAGTGACTCAAACAAATGACCACGTGGATTTTTTTTTTTAATATTCGTAGTGTTTTTCGAGGCAAATTTTTTTTTTGCTTTTTTTCTATAAAAGTACCCCCCAAGCCTTCCGATACCAATACCAATACCGATACCAATACCTTCCGAAGTCACAGTTTCAAACTTTATAGATAATTTAGGAAAATTCAACAAATTTTCATCAAAATTTCAACTTTTTAATCTGAATCTCTAGAACGTTTTCGGGTATGCAGTTTTATAGCCCATGCAATTTTAGTCTAACGAAGTGCAAGTTTCAACCTCCCGCACTTTATTTAATTAGAAATGCTTGATTATTGATATTGGAAAACGTTCGAAAAATCCGGCACCAAAAAAAAAACAGTCAAAAATCTAGGGGATTTTTTAGCGTTTTGGAACTTTCTCTTCATTAGAGTAAAATTGTATGGCTTATAAACTGCATACCCAAAAATGTTCTTAAGACTCATATTAAAAAGTTGAAATTTTTATGAAAATTAGTTGAATTTTCCTAAATATTATATAAAGTTCGAAACCGTGATTTATATGGTTTTTGTTAGAGCTTGGATAATATTTTTATAAAAATTAACAAAAAAAATTAGCTCAAAAAAAAATTAACGAATATTAAAAAAAATCAACACGTGGTCATTTTTTAGTCACTGTATGTATTTTTGTATGTATTAACTTCTTGACAGCTTCAAGTATTCATGGGTGCATTTGTCACGTCGCGTGCTAAATACCTTTGTTATCAATTCACTGCATTCATACTTTAGTTTGCATACATATTGGGTATATATGTAAGTATGTAGATATGTATGTGCATTCTCCAAAGTAAACACATACATACATTTAAATTAAAGTAAATATATTTAAATTAATCGCTCGATTATCTTTAGAGTCATTCCTTTGAATCAATAGGTCAATAAACGATCTCACACTGCAAGAAAGTGTTATAATTACTAGATATCTAAAATACAAAATACTCATAGATACATACTCTCTGTTGTGCTTTTCAACTACTACTCATTGTTCGTTAATTCTAGATGTTTTGTTTGCAACTGGTCAACAGACGGGTGTGAGAAATTTCCCAAGCTATGTAATGAACTTATTTGAGAATATGACAAAATATTAATTGAAATTAGCGTAGTATTGTGAATTATCGGAAATAGAATAACTGAAGTTTGTTAAGCTGATGGAGCATTTTTCACAAGCCAGCATTGTAGATCTGGGGACTATTTCATAAAAGTGACAGGTGTGACAATTGTCGATTTTTTCTATAAAATGTCACTGCCACAATGGTCGGCAACTGTGAAAATTTTTGAAAACCGGCAGTGATAATATGGAATATTGTCGACAATGGTGTTGACAATTGTCACTCTGACAAAATTGTCACGACAAAACCAAATAGCTCCGTCGGAAAACTTAAACGGGAGGGTTTTATAAATTTATTTGTATGGTAATTGCGCGCATTTCATTACTTTTTAAAAATTTGAATATTTCTGAAAAGTAGAATAATGCAAATGTAACTATTACATATGATTTACATACATAAAAATTTCATATGACTGGCAACAATTTTGTCAACGGCAATTTTACACCCCGACAATGACAATTTGTAACATTTTCAATGGAATTCCTCACGGATTTAAGAGGTAGTGACAATAGTTTTTATGAAAAAAAAAACACCCCCCAAACTGTCGAATTGTCACTGACAACATAGAAAATGCCTGTGGTTATAAAGTTATCACTGTCACTTTATGAAATAGGCCCCTGGTCATCCGCAAAGATCTCTAAAAAAAAAAACTTTTGAAAAATACCCGAGGATAAAAAATTTATAAATAGAATAAGCAAAAACGCAAGTAGAAACCAAAGCTTAAAAAACTTTCAGGAAAATTCAAAAAAAGTTTTTACCATAAAACGGTGTTTACATGAGGCGATTTTCCAAGCAATTTCAGAGGCGATTAGTTGAATGAAAAGTTGGATACTCCCAACTTCATTGGAAGCGATTATTTGAAATGGCGTTCACACTAGGCGATTGTTGCTTTCAAATAAAAGTTGTTAAAATTAGGTAATGAAAATAACTACTTTAAAACAATCCTGAATATTTTTAAAAGCTCTGAAAACTGAAAAGCGTGTAGTGTTATGAAAAAGGTTTCCAAGATTTCAAGCTTAAAAAAGAGCTTAGTAAAAGCTCAAACAAAATCTATTGAATCTATGAGTTTTTTGAGATGAAATAGTTAATACAGAGTTTCTAAAAATTACACACCGTGATGAGCTGTAAGCATAATAATTTTTTGCTTTTAGTTGAGAGCATCTGAAGCTCTTTAATATATTTTATATAGGCACGAGCAGAATAAATACTCTCTACATTTAAAGCTGATTGAAAGCAATATATAGGCTAATGCTGATTTAAAAGCAAATCAAGCCACTTCACAAGCATTCATTCTGAGTTTTTTAAGCTATCTGCTCATTTGGTTACAGTAACGACCAAAATAAAGCCCGCTGGCAAAGCTTTTAAGGCAGTAAGTGGTTTTAATACGACGATCGCTGTTTTTTTATGGGCAAGAAAAGTGACAAAGACTTTTTATATCAGAGTTAACAACTTGTATGAAAAACTTCATAAATGAAAGCACAAGAGCGTTTAAATGAGTAAATAACTTTGTATAAAGAAATTTTTGGAAAAGCATTATCGAAACTTGATTCATTTTATTTAAGGTTCTCAAAGCTTTGTATATTTTATGCTGACAGACGCAGAATAAAAGCTCTCCCCTAAAAGGGAATAAATGAAAGCGTTAGCATAGAAGCAAAGATGTTCACTACGTAAGCAATCTTGTCGAACTTTGGAAATCCTTTGCATATTTTATAACAGCAATGATCAAAATTTTTAAATCTTTACGAAACCTTCATATTGGCTCGCATAGAATAAATGCTCTATCTGATTATCACTCTTTGACATAGACGAGCATAAGGCAAAATGTCTCTATATAAAGTAGATTAGACCACGTGATAAGCACGGGAACTTAGATTTTCAAGCTTTTAATTTATTTTATAAAGACTGGGATGAAAAGTAAACTCTCTCTTGGCAACAGTGGTAGGGTGTTGCCTTTTGAAAATTTTATGTTATAAACATAACTAAAATTATACGATTTCGTTAAACTTTTTTAACGAAATTCATAAACCATATTTTTCCGATTTAAAAACAAAATTTTGTTGCATTTTTTCGACGACCTGAAGCTTCCAATACTTATTTATTTGCTCATATTTCCGTTTTCCGTGTCTTTTCACTTCAGAGAAATCTACAAACGAAACCAAATTTGTACAAATAATCAACAATGCATTGAGCCAATTATCGATGTTTATTGGTGATTCAACAAGCAAAAAAAAATAAAGCAGAAGACCATGAAAACAGGCTCGTCAGCGGCAACAGTTGGTCGTTTAGTTGATATGTACCTTTTCGTCTGTCATAAGTACATGTGTACATACATACATACATATATTTATACACATGAATGAGTTCAAATGCTCGTACATGAGTAATAGATTTAATTTTGGCAGTGAAGTGGCAGAGAGATTGAATTGGTCAATGATTTTCACAGCATCTTTAATTTGTATATTTTTTGAATTGCTTATTTTATTAATTTGATGTTTTTTTTTAGTCAAGTAGGCGATGCAGTAGATCAAAATGAAGACGTGACTTTATAAGGCTTTAATAAAAGTTAATGTGTACTGTAAAACTTTTAAGCCGAAATAAATGACGAAATTTAAAGTTGAACAAAGAAATATAATAATTTGATTATTGGGTTATGTGTGTCCCTTTTTAAGCATGATTAGTAAACACGGGTCGTAGAAAAAACATAATTTCATTTCAGTTTTGTTACTACAGTGGTCGAAAATAGCAAAATTTTTTAAAAAATATTGACTATTTATTTTTTTGTAATATTTATTATTTTTGTTCATTATCTAACAAAAATCATATAAATTCATATTTTAAACTTTGTGCAAAAATTATTAAAATTCTGCGAAGTTGCATCTAATTTTTTGAGATTTTTTTTTTTAATATAAAAAAGTGCAAGTTTGAAGTTGCCATAAAATCGCGTTGATTTTTAGCATTTTTTAACGCATTTCTTCCATTCAAAGTATGTTGGAAATATTTTTTTTTTTTTTATGGAAAAAAGTGAAATCTGAGTTTATATGGTTTTTGTTAGATTATGGGCCGTACTTTTATACTCAACATTTTTTTTTATGAAAAAAGTAAGTAAAAAAAAATTATCAAAAATCAACGTGATTTTTTAGAAACTTTAAACTTGCACTTTATTATACTAGAATTTAATAAGTTATAAAACTGCATACCAAAAAAAATTCGGAAAACTCTGAACTAAAAAATGGAAATTTTGACGCAGCAACGCAGAATTTTTATAATTTTTGCGCAAAGTTTGAAACCTAAAATTATATGATTTTTTTTACATAATGAGCTATACTTTTATAAAAAAATAAATAAAATAATAAAATATAAATTATAATAAAAATAAAAAAAAATAAATAATATTTAATATTAAATGTACAAAAAACAAATAGGCACAATTTTTTTTAATGCCACGTAGGTTTTTTTCGACCACTGTACTTATTTGAATTTCATCAGCAAATCAAGTTCTCATGTACAAAACACCAAAAGCTTACAAATTCAAGCGCAGCTCTTACTCTAATTACACGCTAAGTATTGCCTTACTCACACTTACACTGCCGGGCTCACAGTTTAGGCAAAAGGGATGAAGGAAATGCAAGGAAATAACACCAACTTCACCTACATACACACCAAGCCAATTATCAGCTGTGCGGCATTCCAGCATTTCATTCATAAAAATGCCTTAACGCTGAGTGTCTGTTTGGGTAAGAGCGCCGAAGTAGTAGTACTGCGTGCGAGTGGGTTTGTATGGGTGAGTGCGCGCGCTCAGTGCAGATTCATTTGGTTGCTCTTAGCAAAGAACGCTCCAACAGTCACTGCCTTCAGCGCACCTAATGTTTCGCAAGCAACAGTAAATGAGTGCATACCTCTAACTTACACTGCTATGGCTCAACTCTTTCACTCAAATGTTGTTTGCCCAGCGATATGTAGTAGCTTGCTGCAAGCGCCTCAGCTGCGCAGGTGTGTGGCCTAGTTGGGTGGTAGGGTGTTCGGTGTGGCAGCGGTCAGGTGTAGCTGCTTGGGATTTTTTTATGGTGTAACATATAAAGTTAAATAATGCATAATTAATGTTGATAAGCTATTTATAAGAGATACTAGTAAAAATACAATTGCAAGATACATAGATAGACAGAGAAGGGGATTTTTCATCACGATTGGCAATGGCCAAGCTAGCTTGATGAAATCGCTAACTTACCGACTCCATCTTAATTACTTAGTTATAATTTTAATTTCACAACATTTTCCCCCTCGTATTGTATAAAATTTTTCCCACATATTCTTACAACTTAAAACAAAACAAAAAAAACCCTTACAGATTACGGCTACCTAGTGGAGAACGCATGCAATGCACATGTAATCCGCCCACCGCTTTACTTAACGACCACCACAACAGCCACAAAGAAACATAGCCGTGTTGGGTATTCAGCTTTTGCGTGCGTCGTCGTCGCTTTATTAGTTTTCGCACAAATTTCGGCACGCAGCACTGCCACTCCATTGACGCAGCAAGCAGACACTGAATCAGAATCATTGGAATCAGCTGAGGATATATTGGATTTGTTGCATGAACTGGTGCGATTCAGCCATGGGGAACACAAAATTGACGGTACAGAAGAGTTTGGCGAAAAGCATGCGCTTATGCGACGCTTGTTTAAGCGGCACAATGCTGACGAACCAGAGTGGCAAAATGTTTGCGGACAAGATAGCGGCTGGAGTGGAGATGAGGTGCCGGAGGATATTATTTCGGATTACACTCAATTGGTAAGTATACTTAGAAGATGACGACTGAGAGGTGCTTTCAATGAAAACATAAAAATCAAAGTTTTTTTTTTAATATTTCTATTGCATAAAAACCATATAGTTATTTACGCGATGCTATAAATTTACATTAAATAAAATGAAAAAATTACAATTTCATAGAAGGGATGAATGTAAACAAGTAAATGCATACAAAAGTTTAATTACTCGGAAAAGGTAAAATGTTCAACAAATGTATAAACACACATTTTGCAGGAATTGAACTTCATATCGTATACATACGTTGATAGTCATCCAATTTAAACAAAAAAATATATATCGTCGTTTCGATGCATGGTTTTGAGAACTTTTTTTTCTTTTACCAATTTTGTAAAATTTCGATAATGCTTATACATGCTTACATAAATATGCTAAGAAAAAAATTTTTTCATCGAAGGCACGAATTTCTGCATAAACCACAAATTTAGTAAGAACTTAATTTACATATCGCACAATCAAGTCTACAATATTTACTTCGCATGAAAAATCATGTTTTCGATAAAAAAAGTATATTTTCAAAATATTGAGTTAAAAACACCTTAATTCACGAACGAGTTTGTAAAATCATATCTTGAGGCCAGTATTTTATTATGCAACAAATTTTATAAAATTTGCTTAATAATGTTGATTGATATACCAAAAGTTCAAATTTTTCATCGAAAAGATGAATGGCAGCATAATCGAAATTTTTTAGAAAGTGAATTGGCGTATGGTAAACTTAAGTCCTATTCACATTCCACAAAATGCAACGTTTGACAAAATATCAAATTTTATTAAATATGATAGTATTTAAAAAAAAATTAGAGAAAAGTTAATAAAAGTAATAAGATTCGAAAATTGTAATAGAAGGGGAGTAATTATTTCTTCTTTGTTTATATATATCTAACAAACGGCTTAGTGAAGACGAATTCCATATTAAACATAAAAACCATCATTGAGATGAAAAGGTTTATAAGAAATAACTCAAAAAACACATTTTTTCGTTGCAAAAAGCAATTCGTCGTTTGGATGATTTTTTTTTTTAATAGAACTTAAAACAATTAAAGCAATTCGTCGTTTGAATGATTTTTTTTTTAATAGAACTTAAAATAGTTTCTTTAAATAAGTTCAAATGGTCATTCTTCGAAAAAAATTCTCGTTAAAAAGAAAAAGTTTACAACTAAAATTATCGTTAAGATATAAAGTCTATTAGAATTTGAATTTTTTAAATATATCACAAAATAAAATTATTATTTATTTTTTTTTGTAAAAAGCAATTCGTCGTTTGAATGAATTTTTCGATATATGTATTTATCTTAAAACACAAAGAAAACGAATGTGCGAAGAAAAAAATATTAAAAAGCGATTGCTGACTAAACTTTCGTTTAAATATTTCCCTAGATGAATTTATGAATTCATTACTTCTATGAAATTCAAGTTAATAAAAATTTCGAATTTTTATGAATTAAATATTGGCATATGTATTATTTTCATTTGTTAGCGAAAAATCGTGTAAACTCTATTGACATTAATCCAAAATTGTAACCGCTCACTAATGTTTCAAATTTCCTTTTGGTTTTCTTTTTTTTAGTACTTCAAAACCCTACGCAAATCTGTACGCCTGGAGTACAAAGCATTGAAAAGCAAAGCATTCAACGATATCGATATCGACGATATGAAGGCATGGGCTCGACATTACCGAAAGTACAAATTTTTGCCTACATTGGAGCACCATGCAGCCGTAAGTTTAAAATAAGAAAATATTACCAACAACTACTAAACTCCAAGGCAACCAACAAATTAAAAGAACTGCAATCAGCTGATTATCATTATATTTAATCAGCAAATCACACTGCCCATATAGGGTCAGCATTGCATAAATGCACCGATGACTAATGACACCCACTGACGTCTTATGTCGATTCGGCAAAAAACCCGCCACGCGACAAATAACCCCATTCAAAGGAAGTGCACTTACTACATACATACATATTTATGAACTGATTGCCGCACGAGCGAACATATGTACTTAAATGGTAACTATCGCAAAATTACCAGACACATTGACGCCTATAATCGAATAACTGCAGTGGCGACAACAACAATTCCGCGTATTATGACTGTAAACGCTCCATATACCCCACAAAATGAAACTAATTTGTAGCGAGAGCTTTGTAATCATTATTAAATGGAAATGTCGCATTATTTCTCGTACATACATACATACGTCATTAGCACTCTGCTTCAAGTAGAACTCAGAAAAGTAAGTGTGCCTGCAATCATTTAGACGTGTCTTCGTGTGGGCCAGCCACGGCTTGTGCGCCAATCATTGGGGGGGGGGAGGGGGGGCTTTTGCGAAAAAACCCAGCGTCGAACTGATTATGTGAACAAACATGCTGTCTTTCTGGAGTGTAGTGTCATCATTTCGTCTGCAGGGGATTTTTTGGCTGGCTACACATTCCCCCCCCCCCCCCCCCGATACTTATGGTACGCTCCCCTTATTAGCTTACGCTCCAGTGGAATGTGTGTGTACATTAGGGTGGTCCGAAAAAAAGTTAAGCTGGAATTTTAATGCTCTCACCACGTAAGTTTGTTCCATACCGAAAAAAATTATACCCCTGTTTTTAGTTTTGAAATCAAAAAATGTATTTTATATGCAGAAAAAACAATTTTTGTAGAAATGGTATATATTTTTATGTATTTTATGTTTTTATTATATTTCTCGATTTCCAAATAAAAAAGAATCAGGGGTATATTTTTTCGATTTAAAACAACCCTAGGGGGTGAGAGCGTTAAAATTCCGATTTTAATTTTTCCACATACCTTTTTGGACCACCCTAGTGTACACACTTGCTTTAATGTATACAAACAAAAGTATTACAACACTAAGTATCAGTGACTGCTGCCACGAAACGATTATGTCAATCGATCAATGATTTGATTAATGTTTTGATTTGTTAGGTGTGCCCACACAAACCTTAAACATGTAATATCGCTGTATCAGCTACCAAATCCAATCTTCATTATGTAGGTACATAGTTTAGGCTACTAAAGTAGGGCGATTGTTTTAGTTTTTTTCTCCACCTTTACACAGACTGAACAATTACCAAGGTCCCCATTTGGGCTAAATAATATTCTACATTAAAAAACTTTTAGGCATTTTTGATCTAGCTTGAGAGTCATATAACTATTATAAAACCCTGGGTGCATCTTAAGATTATGAGGATAATATTATAAGCTCATATTTCTTAATAGTTAGGTTAACTAACTTAGTTTACTTAACTGAAAATAAAGTTTTTAAGGAAGGCGACTAATTCGGACTGGCCGCGGTTTTCTCCCTTCAGTTAGAGATAGTAAAGAACATGCAAACTACGAAACTGGTCATCAAAGTCTTGTCAACACTAAATATCTATTTTGTTCTTAGTGGTTTATGGATTCCAACCAAGCAAATCTAAGCTCGCCTAAACTGCCAAAACTAGGCAAGTTGCAGAGCAGGTTTGAATGTCCTGAACTTGTGAAGGTCTTAATTTGGATTAGCCTAAGCTGAATGTTTGTCACATATAGACCGAATGGTCCCTAACGAAATCGTATGAAGATGGTATTGGAATTACATTGATAGTATTGCCTATACATTGGTATAGAATGCGCACCACTAAATGTGAATCCCATTTTAACTGATAAAGATATTAATAATGGAGTTTGTAATCCTTTGTTAGTCTTGCACATTTGTATAGTATAGATTTTTTCTTTAGAGATTTCTTCAAGTATTTCCTTTTCTTATTTTCTTTTTGCATAGTTCCTTGAACCAGATACTCAGTAATGGAATTGATTATTTCCGATGGAGTTGCTTTCTATTTCTGCGTAGACTATCTCCGCGACTTTCCTCAAAGCGAACAATTTCGTGCAATATATCCCCGCTCCTACTCCATTCTTCACTTTCAGGACATTCGTAAACATAGTAAAAGTGGTCCGTCTGAATTTTATTCCCCCTGTCACACTTTTTTCTTCAACAGTGATCCGAAACATCTTTGCCAAGTTAGAGCGTAGATGTCTTACTTGTACCCCAATCTCCAGGTTTGATTGTTGAAATCCTCTTTCAAAGTGCTGCATTGAAACTCATAAACTCCAGGTTTTTATTCTGCTTAAGTCGAAAAAATTTCTATCTCTGTTTCTCAATCATTTAGAGTCTACGAAGAGGTAGAACGCCTCCTACCAAAGTGCTCTTTACGCAGACGGTGACACGTCTACAAGTCTTAATTTTCTAGCTCGATTACTTTATGTAGGAGTTAGAGACTGATTTCCTGACGAATTTGATTGCTCTACATTTCTGAAATTTCTATGAGATGCTGGAAAAACCTTCACACTTCTGGTGCGTAAAGGTTTCAGTATATCTCTGGAACAGGCATCATTGACAATTTTCATACTTCTTCCTCTAGTACCATACATAATTTTAAATATAAGTGTTAGCCTCCGCTTTTTAAATCTCGTAAGCAACGATTCTTGTTGAGACCTTAGATGAAGTTTAAGCGGGTTCGGAGAATTTTTTCTTGAAAATATGCGACTGTCTGGAAAGCTGTGATGATTTCCTTCAAAATAATTCGTGGCACAACCGAAAATATTAGGCTTTTGGGAATCTTTCAGAATGCAGCGCTCATTTTGTGGAACTTGATTCAATTACGTGCGTTTCATTTATTTCCAACCCATCCAATCAATTCCATGTCATTTCATTGCAATCTATTCCATTTTATTTACAACTTTAATCTTTTTAATTTCTGTTCCAATTCAAAACATTTCGTTACATTTTGTTTCAGTGCAGTTCATTACGTTCCATTTCATTTTACTTAATTTCTCATTATTTTTATTCCATTCCACTTTTTACAATTTCAAATCACGTCGTTTTAAACTCAAATCATTCCGTTTCACTTCTGTCCATTACCTTCTCTTTCATTGCATTTCATTATATTCAAATCCTTTTTTGCACAACCATTCATACTCCACTTGAACCCGCTCCCACCATGCCCTCTTTATTGCGTTTCACATCATTTTGTTCTTGACTTTTTTAATTAATTCCATTCCATTTAATAGCATTTCATTCCATTTCGTACCTTTCCATTAAACTTGGTAGCATTCCATTCCGTTTCATATCATTTCATGGCATTCCATTCCACCATTCCTTCAGTTTTCTTTATTTACAAACTTTTACATTCCATCTTTAGTCCACTTCTGTGCCCTCGGTTAATTTCCTTCTCATTTAAATTTTTTTTTTTTTGTTTTTCATACAAATTCCATTTCATACCGCACCACATTTCGCCTTCAACAAGTCAATTAAAATCCAAAACAAAAATAACAACCGGCAAAATTCGTTGCTACTGACGAAGTAGAAAATCACTGCCGCGCATTCATGGTCCACTTGCACCGACCGCGCACTATTTCTTATTGGCCGCTACAAACCACAGCATAAAAATGTTGCTTGGCAGCTGAAGCGCTAACTTGACAATGACCGCCCTAAGGGCTTAACGATTAGGTTGACGTGGGCCTTTTGCCGGTGCGCTCTTATTAGAAGCCCAAGAGCAGAGCACGTCAACGAAGGCAGTTAGGTGGCCACTGATGCATAGATAAGAAAAGGCTGCGAGTTAAATTGGCAAAGGTAAGGATGTGCAAGGCTGTCGACACAAGTACTAAGTACATTTTTGCACTCACCACAAGCAAACAAAAAAAAAAAAAACAGTCGCGCAGTCGCAACGAGATTCCAGTGCTCGAAGCGAAATTCGTTGATTTGCATATGGTTGTAGTGAATCGAAGGAAGTTGCATTGGCAGCGGCAGCGGCAGTGGCAGCAACACAACGATAAATCAATCAAAGCCAAAGGTTGCAGGGCTGATACCTACCTAGGCTCCAAAAATGAATGCATTCACTTTAATGTACATAATATTTATTTTTATGGCTTATTCTCTATACAAATTTAAACGTCTCCTTTGCTCCGTTTTGCTTTATTATATTTCATACCCCTCTCCACCTCATTCGTCTATTTTTAGATTGCGCCCGTTTGCTGGCATCAAAGCATGCAAAAATTCATCGCCTCCTTTGCATATCTCTATAAAATCCAACAACATTGGGATCAGCAACATTTGCGTACACAAAGTGGCATTGCACGAGAGTTGCACGGGCTGTTGCAGAGCGCTCGGCGCATACAATGCGAAATCGAAACAGCCATCAAGGGTAGCTTTCCACGCGATAAGCGCCAGCTTGTAACCTACACGCGTAACGATATGCTTGCTCTGATAAATTTCTATACAAAGAACTCCACTGCTGGTGGTGGTGGTGGTGGTGGTGGTGGTGCTACGGCGGCGCAACGTGGCGTGCACTCCACCGATTTACGTTTTGCCAAATTTTTCTATCAAAACTATCTGCTGCGTATTTGGAAATCACTGCCTCGCCATCTCAAAAACATACAACTACAACACACTTGCGATAAACACACTCACCACACCCCAATACTCGACAATAGTTTGGACAGTGAGGAGTCAATAATGAATAGCGAAATGGATGGCGATTATGAAGAATAAAAAAAGCGGCGATAAAATGGCGTATACGTACTTAAAGATGAAAGAATAATGTAATCTTACTGTGATTCTAATAATTAAGCTTTGCCGAAGTAGTCTCTTTTAGTAATTAAGTATTTATTTATTTATTTAGATATGTCAGCGATGGGGATTTTTGGATTTTAGCATTTGAAATAAAAAAAAGAGTCCAAAATCCTTATATACAATTCTACCTCGCATTCCGTACGGAAACTCTCTCGATATGTAACTATAAGTAAAGAATTTCATGCATTTTTTTTATAACGGCTTTAAGCTAGAAAATATTTCATTCGATTATTTCAACTCAAATTCAAATTTCCTTCCATTTCATATTAATTGGAAATTTTTCTATTCATTCATTGAGATTAAACCAAGCCCTAAATTGTATGTATTTATTTATATATATAAAAATAAGCACACTTTTCTTCATAAGTAACTCGATTATGTACTTAAATTATGAAATAAAATTAAACACAAACATAAATATTTAAACTGTCAGCCAACTATCTTTTTCCATGCAATCAACTGGTATTTTTAACATGGGGATGTCCCACCAGATGATAATTGTCAGATTTTGAACAGAAACATACCAGTCTCATACTAGTTCAAAATAGACAGAAAAATACTAGTCCGATTATGGCCCAAAACCACTACTTTGGAAGTCAAAAAATAAAATGAATTCATGAATATACAATAAAAAACGTTTGATTAAGTACACTTTAATATTATACACATTTTTATTTAGCAGCTTTAGATTTGCCAATAATTTTAGTGTTAAATTTTTTGAATACTAATTAAAAGGAAAAATAAATACATAAATATTTCAAACTTTCGAACGTAAATTTAAATTTTATTAATTAAATTAAATTTTCATTTTTGCTGCAAGTGCTGTCTCAAACCAATCGAGTGTTGCGGTGTGACGCGTTTTTTGGCGAATTTGTTTAAAATTATAAAAAAATGTTGAATGAAATATGAAAAATATGCGTAATTAATTTATTCTGCTGATATGGAGTATTTAAGTATTAATGTATTAGATATTTTGCGACTATTTTGTGCACATTTTAGCAGGTTTAGCAAATTTTTCAGGTTATTAATTTGGTTATAAGCATATAAATGTCTGGTAACATAGTTGAAAGTGGACTTGTCTGCATTCACCGTATAAACAGACAAAAAGTAGTATCGGAAAGTTTGATTTTCAGAAATAAAAAAACATCTTTCAAAAACCGCTTAACATGCAAGGTGTAACTGCTCAAAAAAACCTCAACGCAAGTCTCAACGATTTCTGTTTTGTAAAAACCAAATGAAGTGGTAAAAGTAGTGGAGATTGGTTGTTTTTTCGGATGAGAGAATGTTCAATATGAATGGGGCGGACAGCTAAAACTAATACTTTCACGACCTTCTTAAAGGACAGCGCTTTCTAGAACGCTTTGACATACGGACAGGAGGTGTAATGGTTTGGGGCGCTATATCGTACTTTGGAAAAATCGAGTTGGAATTTTAGTCAACAAAAATTTAGGCCTTATCTCACAAGGGATTGCTATAAAGGGCTTTTCCAATTTTTTTAAACTGGAAACTATTTAAAGTTCCTATTTCTGATCGAATTTTACCAACTTTTTCTTAACTGGCGAATGCTGCGTTAACGTCCCTGAATTTGAGGCCGATATTTCGCTGTATACCGTGCCACTGTGATTCAGATTGGTAGCTCTTATTACACTTTCCAACATCAGATTGCAAAACTCACTCGAGAATGAATCGCCTTGCCTAAAACCACCTCTGGCCTTAAACGACGCATAGACGCCCGCCCTAATTTGAACGGAGCTGAAGGATGTGCTCAACGTCATTCTACATATGTACTAGGTTTGCGGGTATTATAAATTTAAAACATGGCGTCGTACATGCAGCTTCTAAATATGGTCTATGGTGGACCTGTAAGCAATATAAAGAAGGCTTATTCATCATCCAGTTTATAAATAAATAACACTTAAGTAATTTATCAAAAGGCGGAAACGAAAAAACAAACAAACGTTAATGGATGCATGGCATCTGGACAGTATCTTTAGATATTTTACTGCATTAGGAGCATTCTTGCAATCGGAAGCCTTAAGTCTGACAGAAAAACTGAGTTTGTCGACTCCTCGTCGTTCTCGGGAATTGGGGCTGCCTTACGGTATATTTTAGAGTATTTTACATTTAGACTTACATCTCTTCTTTTTCTTTTGCTCTGAACCGTATAAGGTCCCTCTGGTACAAAAAACTGCAGCCAGATTTCACCATTCTTAGTGTCGTAGATAGGCTCTTGGTGGTTAAAAATTACCAAAACGACAGCGCTCAAAAGTGCAGTACATATTGTGCCCACTAAATTCAATATATGTATACCCAGATACTGTACCTCTACTATCAGTTTTTTAGTCACCAGTAAGGATTAAGGTTAAGCCAGGCCTCAGCCTCAAGAACTCAGCATTGCAATAGTTCTTAAGCAAAGGTAGTGTTGGCGTACCATCAAGTGGCATTTAAAAACAATTAACTCGAATTTCTGCCACCGAAAAAATTCATTAAGTGACGATAGGTAAACCAAATTTCATCGAAATCGGATGAAATCTACTGTTTTCGCCCAAAGAGCGGAGGGCGTGGCAATTATCCCAAATTTACCAAATTTCACAATTTTCTATTCCTAAGGAAAATTAAAGCACATGTCAAGTTTCAGCGAAATCGGTGCAGGTTAATTATTATTTCCACCAGCCTCCATATAGTCGAAATACTGTGTGTCGTAGGAAAAGCTCTGGAACAGCACACTTTGCAGTTTGGTAAGTAGATTTCCTACGAAATTGTTGAGAAAAAAATCCGATCCTCTAAGTGACAGATCCCGCCTAGACCTAAATAAAACCCCTAAAGTGTTATTGAGGTAGATGCACAGTGGTGGCCACATACTTCCGGACACCGCTTTTTATAAGTTTTGGTCGTTTATTTTGTTTTTACAAAAATATAGTTTATACTACCACGAGAACCATGCGTACCAAAATTTTAAACCTCTTGCAAGATTTAAAAAAAAATCGCCAATTTCATTATATGGTTATCAAAATTTCAAACTTTTTAATCAAAATTTCTGGAAAATTTGGTTTAAAGTTTCAAGCGGCTAAGATCACGCGTTGGTTTTTTTCTAGAAATTCTCATTAAAAGTTTGAAATTTTAATGACCATGTTTTCTACAATGTTTGAGGCTTTTAGTTATTTGGTTCTTGTTGTGGCATAAACAATATTTCTGTAGGCAAAAATCCATTAAAAATAAATGGTCAAAAGTAGTAAAGAATTATTGTATCTAATTATGTAAATAGTTAACGTTCATTGTGACTTGTCACATGTCTAATAATTAATTACGTATAAATGTTTTACTATGGTAAATAAGACTACTAAGTGACGCATGCGCATAATAATCACACCTATTGCACATTAGTGTATGATATGTGTAAGTACAGGTATGCGTTTCAATGTATGGACATATCAACATAAAAGGGCATAACTAACCGGCTTAATAAATTTGATATATTTCACATATACATATATCCGTGCATAGTCGTCTGTAGGTGGTCATAAAAAACTTCACACCCATCTGTTTTACGTGCATAGGGGAATACTCTTTTTTTCCATATCTTCCATAAGCTTTATTTTTACCCTTAAATTCTTGGAATTCGAATGTGTGACAAAACCCAAGAAATATTTGCATAGTACACAGTAATAACCACAGATTACACGTCATACGTAGGTCAATAAAACGTCATCGTTTTGTGAGAGTTTGAAAATTGTACAAATCAAAAATTATCGCCTATGCCCCTAAATAGCTATGATTGCGAGTAGATACTATTTGCGAAATGAGGTGTGCGCTTGAGGTCTTGCTATGATAATTGGAAAAAAAAACTGTAAAAAAAGCAAACATAAGTAGGGGGAATTTATTTGTTGAAAGAATATGTACATATGTATGTATGTATGTGGTAAGTACGCGCGCGCGTCAAATGGTAATTAAATATTTACTTACGAGTTTAGACTGAAGCGGCTTTTCACTCGGCGCTCTAAGGTAAATACAAGCGCTTCAAATAATCTTTGTATCATAAGTATGTATGGATATAGGTACCTATGTATGTATGTATGCGCGCACATATCTCCGCCCCCGCTGCTGCCGCTTGCAGGTAAATCCAACGCTCATTGGCTATGAGTTGCTAGCGGCATTTGCTATGCGCTTGTCTCTTCTTGTGTCCTCTTCACTGGCGTTATGCATTTTGTAGAAAAGGTAAACTCCGCCAGCAGCCATACATACATATGTATGTATGTACATGCATCAACGCACACAAAAGTGCGCCCACGCACATAATTGCTTCGATATGTAGGTGAGTAGACGAATAAGTAGAATTAAAATATGCATCATGAAATACCTAGCTATCATATACATACAAATGTGCTTACCTTTAATGTGTGTGTGTGTGTTTTTACTTAGGAATATTTGTAAGTTGTTTTACAACACCTTTATGTTGCACAGCAAACACTCAAATGCGCGGCAAGAGAGTAAAATGTAAATATAAAAATAGGTGATTGAGTGAATGAGTGGCATGTGACCCACCAGCCCACTCAGCACTCTTAGCCAACAAGCCGTAGGCTTGATCTCAAAAGAAGCATACACATACACACACATAATATGTATACCCTCATTCATGGCGACTGCTGGCCCCTATAGAATGAAAGGTGCCGGTTGCCCTCCCTACGAATAGAATCTAAACTGATTGCGATTTTGAATACTTTTTGAATGAAAGACGCTCATACTTGGATACCGAAAAAACAACAGTACATCGTGTTGCCGCCGATGCGCTCATCGTACGTTGCTGCATGCGGTAAATGCCGATGAGTAATTGCAATTTTGTGCGATTTTTCGTTTTTTTTTCGTTTTTTGGTCGCCTCTTAGCTGAGACGCTTGGCTGGACGAGGGCATGGCTGGATAGC